CAGAAGGGCATCACAATTGTATCAAAGTCCCAATGACTGTGAATCTGTGGTGACCATTGCCCATGATGAAAGGGAGATTTGAGGAAGCCTATAAAGAAAGACTCAGGAAAAATATGAGAAAATAATAAATGGGAGAGTTGTTCACATCTCTTCTTTCCTGTGATTATAGAAATTTAGATCCATCTAGGAGAACGTATTTGAACTTGAGCTTGGAAGCAGACTTCATGGGGATTAATTTTTCATTCCTATGAGGACAGTGATCAAAAACACATAACAAGTACTTAATTGTGAATAAAACATTCCTCACATTACAATTGGGAAAAGAACTGCACTAAATTGCACCAAAGGATCGTGTCCCTCTGTACCCTGTTTCTAACAGTGCTTATGAGCACCTCATGGAGAAAAAGTAAGATTAGGCAGACATTCTTTATTTAATAGTCCTTTAGACTGCTTATCTCATTATTATCTGTATCTATACAGTACTTATCAATAATTTATTTCTGTGAACTTGAACCTGCATACTCTCTCTAACATCTCTCTCATGAAGCATTTCCTCTTTCTGTTGGATTTGAACCTGGCTGCTGGCTTCTTCTCAGTTCTTGTCCTTGGACAAGTATACTTATTCGTTCTCAGCTAGATTTTCCTCTTTCCACTCTTATATTTCTTAGATTTTTAACGCTGGTGTTAAAGCATGCATTTTGGTCCACTTCGCATCCTATTTAAATAGCACTCCTATTTTTTATAGGCCTATTTCTTAACCTTCACAAGTCAGACAATTTGAATGGCCTTCTCTGTAAAAGACACTCTTTTATACATCTTAGCTTTTCCCCAACCCTTCGGTTTAAGAGTTCACTAACAAGCTTCTTAAAAGGCTAGTAGTCTGGTTCACTTAGAGTTCAAATTAGATACATCCTTCCTTTTTGGCCTTCATCTGCTCCAGAAGCATTCTATGTGAATCATCGATGGGCAACTAATCTCCGGTAAGAAATTTGTTTACAAAATACATTCTCTAAATATATATTTAAACCAAAAACAGAAGAAAAAAATTTTAAATATAGTGGAATATAGAAATTTCAGATTACTTGAAAAAATGTTGTTACTACTTTTTAGATATTTTGCATAATATTTCAAAATTTATTAAGAAAATTAACTTATCCTTTATCTAACTAGTTCACAAAACAGTTGTGACAATTTTTCAGTAAGATCAAGACTCACTGTAATTGAAATCTCAGTTCTCTCAAAAAACATTTGAGAATGTGAGAGTTAAAAAGATTCACTGTGGTATTTACTGCCATTTTCATTATACATGGTATAGTCTTGCTTTCATGAAACATCCGAATAATATATTAGATAAAAATTCTGCCTTTTTAAGAATTATATGTTCTAACAATAAAAAGAAGTATTTTATTTGTATTCAGTCATGCCAATATTTAAACAGAATTTCAATGAACTGTTATTGAATAGCCTTCTTTTTATGGGAGAAGCCCATCTTGCATCAAAGCTAGTGAAATGTCACCTTAGAGATCACTCACCCAGTTTGACAGTGAGCTGGAGTGTAGAGAAAGTGCCAGCTAAATGTTTTGCTCACCCTTTTACTGGTAACAGTTTTTTCCCTCTTTAATGAATTTGCAAAACTATATTGGGTCTTCTGCTGGGTCATGTCTCAGAAATTAATGGTTAGTTTTTTGACTTTAAAAAAAAGCCCACAACAAACAAACCCCCAAAACAACAAAGTTGAAACTGAACCAGGTTTCAACATCCTTAACAATACTGTTAATTGTATTATTTTCATTGTCTAACCAAATTAGTACCAGGAAACTATTTTTTTGAGGCTATAAATGATGAAGAAAAAAAAATCTCTTCTAGGTTATTACTTAGATTAGGAGTGGAACATTGTCTGATTAACCACTCAAGCCTATTGCTCTTGTCTACAGAGGCATTGAAATGAATGCTGATGTTAGAAGTATAAAGCCAGTAACCATACATTCACAGCAGTTTCTCAAGTGTTGTTTACTCTTCGACCTGTAGTTGCACTAATAGCGGCAATATTTGGAACAAAAAAAATGACAGGATGTGAAGAGTGTTTGAAGTTAGGAAATATGCTTTTGTATGTGAAATGAGCACTTCTTGGTAGGGAAATCAATTGCTGAGAGGTAATAAACAAGGAAACCAATAAGAAGGATTTGGTTTTGCTTTTCAAAAGAGGATTGCAATTAAAAGTAGATAATCTTTAATTTTATTATAGAACTACAATGAAAACAGATAATCCTTGCATCTATTAGATAGGATTTATTAATATCTTGTTATCTTACTACACTCTAATTTCCCTCTAACAATTATCTTCTCTTGTCTGAAAAATCTTTTCCTCAGTATGCTTTAGTGGTTATTCAGGCATCTATAGGATTGTTCCCATGTAAACAATACATGCTCTCAGCTTTTTTTTTTTTTTAAGAATTAATATAAAATCACATGAGTGTATAAATAAAAATTAACAGCATGTCTAAATATTCTTTATATCATATCGTGATACTCTTAGAGAAACTAATATAAACATGACACTACAAACCTGAGGTAAAATACACACTACATGTAAATTCTAAAAAAAAAAAGGCATCTAAACTGATATGTAATAAAGTGTTTATAAACAGAATTTAAATAATAAATAATTCTGTTAAAATAAGCAGAATTTCTCTCCAGTTTGATAATTCTTATGACCCCAACTTTTTATCCTGCTCTTGCCAAGGCTTTCAAGGAACTTGCTTGATCAATATTTTTCTTTTCAGAACAGTAAAATGTGATGTTTGGAAAATGTTCAGCAAAGTCCTACTCTTCAGTACTACAAAACAATAAATCATTTATCCAAGAATCCAAAAATATTTTGTTTCTTTCTAATTCCAATTAATTATACTTTGATATCAATTCTTCTTTGACAGAATCAAGCTGCATTTCACATTTTATTATATAAATAGACAACTTGTAGAACGAATCCTCAAAAATTTTTGTAGTTTATGTATATTTAAACATATATAGGTTAATTATATTGCTTGTTATATGCATGGTCAAAAGGGCACAACTTGCAATAATCCTTTCCATGACTGTTTGGAATAATAATTGAAAATTATTGTAATTTTTAATTGAATATTTTATCTCTCTACTTAAAAAAAAAAACAGATTTCCCACTCCTCTGAACTGCTCACTCGTTTTCCTTCCGATTTCCTCTCGGCTTTGGTATACAGTAAGTATATGACAGAAGATGAGATAGTTCAGCTATAATAATATTTTTATTATCAAATCCATTTGCCATTTTTCTCTGCAGTAATATTTGAAAAGGGATATAATTTTACAAAGTAAACTAAAATGTTATTAAGAGTAGATATCATCACTTTCATAGAGCTCCACTCATTGCTGAAATCATAAAAATAATAACTGTACTTTCTCTTAAAGTATTCTTTTCTATGAACTGTATACAAAATAATTGTCTGTTGCTTTGAGCCCATGAGATCTAAAATCCTTATAACATTTGCATAATTGATGACATTATAAGAATCATAAAACATTGCTTTTTGAAAACAAGAACAATACAGATGCAGTTGCTATTACTTGTCTTGCAGTTTTAGTGGGGAAACATATTTTTAGATTAAAGAAATGACTTTTCGCTATAGTAATTGGACAACGGGGACCAAGACTTTAATAAAAGTATTCACATGCCATGGCAAATGACCTAATTTAAAACATAGCTCTTGAATTAACTCACATTCTAGTCATGACTAAAGTATTTTCTGAGTGGGAATTTGTGACCTGTGAGTTTTGCAATGAGATATCATATTTTATCTGAGTTCTGGAAGTAGAGTCAATAAACAAGGTCCTATTGCATTTACAACTGCTTGAGACTTTTTCCTTATGTGATATGAACAGATGTTTCACCTTTTCCAGACAAAAGATCAAGACTTATTATGAAGAGACTTGTAGGAACTGGAAGGCAGAAGAGAAAATATTGTAGATCCAGAAACTGAAATGCACAAGACTTTTAATTCACTGAGAGAGTTATTAGACAGGATCTTTGTTGCTACTCCTAGCAAAAAGATTTCCATCAATTGAAGACTGATAAAAGACCCTGCCTAGGTGGCTTGGAGTGTTCAAGGTACTGCCCATTAGGCTGTGAAGTCTACACAATGCAGAGCAATTCAGATCCCATTAACAGGAAAACACCATTAATATAGGCTCTCCTAAATAAGGAATAGGTTAATAGATTCACCAGATCACAGATCTATTTGGAATTAAAGTGTATTGTCAAGACTGAAGTGATCACCACAAACTTAGTATCTCTGAGTCCTGCTCCCTTATGCTATACAACTGTGACCAAAGGACAGTCCCTCATGAGAACCTAGGAACAAATATGGTTCAGCTGCTTCATGGGCTCATTGTTTGTCTGCTCCTATACAATAGTTTTAAAATTCAAAAGCCTTAAAACAGCCTGTGTTTTAAACAGCCACTCCTACTCAGAAAAATATGCTTCCCTGTGAAGGAGCAAGATTCAGAATGGGAACAGTTCCAGGCATGGAGGAAGATATGCAGCAATTGACAGGACTTTATTATACGGACTTTACAGTTCTTATGTGCTTATAAATATACACATTGTATGTTGCCCCATATTTATATTTTCCAGGCATGCCCAGACATGCCTTCTTCCCTGCTCCCTGCTTCCCTGCTCCCCTCTCTGATTGGCTGGAGAAGCTGCAGAGAGAAGACAGACATCATTCTGCCTGGAAAAGGACACCATTCGCCCTTCCCTTCCCTGGCTCCTCCCACGTTCCTCCCCGTTTTGCTTGTGTCCCTATCCCAATTTGTTCCCCCATTTGTCTGTCTCATGCTCCACCCCATGTTCTGGTCCTTTCCCCACCTGAACTGATAAAAAATCCCGTGCCTGCCTCAATAAAGCATTTCATCTGCATCCTTGTTTCCAGATCTATCCGTGCTGTGTCACAGCCCCATCCCCCCTTGGACCGTGGCACTTCCCTTATACTTCTTCAACTGAATTCATATCATAAACAACCTTCTTATGCCATAAAGAACAGGTTTTCTGTTAAGGGAGGTAAGTTTTCTCTGGGCTGTAGTTCTAGAGAATGTACATCTTACCTCTTAAAGAAGCATATATCCTTGAGGTTTTGTGCTCATTTCCAAGAAAACTGCATCTCAGCTGTCTCTGGATGATAGACAGCCATGTAAATAAAGCATTGATATAACTCTTGCAAAGAAAATATTGCAAGAAACTGAGATTTAAAAGAAAATATTGCAAGAATCTGAGAATTACAATGATTTGCTTGGATATTTATACTGCATTGCTAATCTGTAGTTTTCAAAGGTGGGTGAGCAGTACTTGTGTTTAACAGAAGTGGGGTCAGCACAATGAAATTCCTTGTATGAAAATCACAGAAAGTTCATATGGACTGGAATAGCCATGGAATGGCATGAGAGACAAGATCTCTATCCATCATAGGTGATTTCCCTGTGGTCACCTGAGTAGTCTGGCACAGAACCAGAGAGAACCTCTTGGTTTCCCATCTGATAATCTATTTTTGAACTGAAGAAGGGTGTTGCCCATAGTTCTTTATTTGAATGTCATTATAATATGATGTGAATATGTTTCATTGACAATAA